AGACAGGCAGAATCTCTCAGCTTAACTCACAGCTACAGCACAAACACTGGGAATTTGGGAGCTCAGTGGGTTAATAACAGAACTCCATTCACACAGCAGTGGCCGCAGCTTAGACATAATGTATCTCTCCCCAGGACCCTGGAGGGCTGGCCCTCCAATGGTACCATTTTCCCTATTCACAAGAGAATCACAAGATGGGAAAACTTTTCCAGGCATGGAGCAGGGTGGGGTCAACGTTATGTGATGCACAGTCCAGGCAGCCCAGGTCCTTCTAGCAAAAGTGGAATAAATAAACATGACCGTGATGGGAGCCCAGGCTCCCGGCCTCTTCCATTAGCCCCATTACCCAGGCTAAACACCAAGGTTGGAGGGAGTGGTCCTGCTTGACTGACGCCCCTTCAAGGCCCAAGACCCAGCTGCCTGGGGGAAAGGCCAGGTATTAGGGAATGGCATGGATGAGGGGAGTGTCCCTCTACCCAGCCAGGTCCCTGTGTGTGCTCCCTTTGGACTCCTGCTTTTTACAGAGCCACAGTCAGCTGAACCCCCTTTCTGGCTCCTACAGGATTCCAGAAATGCCCCAGAGGTCTGGACTGCGTGTTCAGCCCAGGCAAGGGCAGAGGCCGAGACGGTCCGTGCCATGCCAGGCACTTACGCTTTTGGTCTTTCAGCCCACGCAGTTAGTTATCTGGGGAATGCTGCTGCTTGCCTCACGCCAGAAAGCAACATTTTTAAAGATGAAGAAATCCCTTTTTTCTCTTCTTAATTTTTTGTCATGAAGTGACTGACTCAATGTGTAACAATGTGAAACCCCTGCGGGCCGGACTTGCAGGCTGGTCTCCCTCGCACTTGAAGTTCTGCCAGGTGCTGTGAGCCTTCTCCACCTCTACACCTCAGCGCATGGCTCCCAAATGAGCTCTCACACCCCAAATCGGCCCTTGAATTAGGAACCACCCCCCGTGCTCCAAGAGCACTGATCACTGTCAGTTGTCCTGTGACTGTGAGCAGCTTCACACCCTCCCCAAAATGTCCACATGACCTCTGCAGCAGGGCTCTGGAGCTGTGGCACCTGCACCAGGAATCAACCCTCTCACCTGTGACTCATTACACAGCAGCCGTGCAGGCAGCTGGGGACACTGTGCCCAAAGAGCACTGTAGCCACTACCCACCTCGGACATTCAATTGCACACAGAACCTGAGTGCCCTTCTCCAGGCCACTCCTGAGGTGGGTCCAACTCCTGAGGTGAAGCACTTGCTGCTCCTAACACCACAGTCAGAACACAGAGCTGCAACCTGCCTGCAGGCCAGAGACAGCCGAGGCCACTCCATCCTGCTTTCCTTTGACCATGTATCCCAGAGAACCTCTGCCTGGGGCTGTTCCCTGGTCCCAGGACCCAGTCACCATCTGCGCTTGAACCCAACACCAGGCTTGTTTCCACAGCCAGGGCCTGTCCAGAAGGGCTGGGGAGTTCGTGGCAGATTATCCATTATCAGTACAAATGAAGCAACTGGGAAAGAGCATGTGTGAGCTCTGGGGTGTTGGGGATCCTTTATGTCTTGCCAGGAGCATGTCTTCCACGTGTGTGTATACTTTCCAGAGCTAACCAGATGGCGTGCTTAACACACGCTCACTGCAGTCTATGTAAATCTTACCTGAAAGAAGAATAGCAAATGAACATTGTTTAAACCCCAGGACATCCCTCACACTGAAGCGTAGTAAGGCCAACACGTACAGGAATTCATCAAAAAAGACAGCAGAGCCAGGCCTGGTGACACACACTTGTAATCCTACTGCTCTTGGAGCCTGAGGCAGGAGGCTCAAAAAAAGTTCAAGCCCAGCATGCAACCTACTTATTGAAAACCTGCCTCAAAATTAAAAATTTAAGAAAGAGCTTGGCATATTACTTAGTATGAAGACCCTAGGTTCAGTCCCCAGTACTAAAAATTTAAAAGTCCAATTAATTAAGGGAAATGTGTGAATGGATAGAGAAACTGAGAGACAGACAGGCATGGTAAGGGAAATACAGTAAAATGTTATTTATAGAATCCAGACTATGGGGATGTGCATGTTGGCTCACTTCACTGTTTAAAAATCACATCTTATTCAGGAAAAACAAAATTGAAAGAAGACTAATGGATTCCTATGGAGGGAAATAGTAAATTCTACTTCATTCAGAGGTGCAGGGATGGAGAAGTTATCCACATGCCAACCACCCCAGAAACATCTGTGCCTGTACTGCTCCACTTCTGCATATAACAAGGGCTTCACTCTCAGGGTGGGGAAGGCAAGCTGGGCACCCAAAGAGGAGTGGCTGGTGAGGAGGAGGCCTCACAGGATGTGCCACGAGGCCCCCCTAACTAAGGCTGCACCACTGGGGAACGCCGGAGTGGGCAGCAGGGACAGCCAGCCACTTGAGGAGTCTTGCCCACCAGCAGAAAGCTCTCTCCTCTGTGAGTTAAAGAGTCACTGTGATGATTTTCTTAAAGATGCTGCAAGGAAAGCTGCCCTCTGACAGCACACTGTAAGGATACACAGCAGCAAGGTCAGGTGAGTCTGACAGTTTCTCTCTCTTTCCTGTTGGACACCACACTGTCCCTTTGCCCAGGCTGGTTTCCCTGCTCCTGCCCCCACCTAAGTCCTGCACATCCCATGGAAACCACTCAAGCAGAATTTTCTCTGGGAAGTCCACCAGGACTTACAGAGTGAAAACCCCACCCCAGACCACTTGTCCTATTTCATAATTTTGTGGGAGCAATTGCTGGTTTAATGGGTTCCACAAACTCCCCCAAAGCCCACCCCAGAACCAGGATCATGGAGTGCCTTAAACAAATCTCTGCATGCAAGTAAATTCCAAGTGTTTAAGAAAGTGATTTCTTTGTATACTGAAAAATAAATAAAAATTAGGAGGGATCAGGGTAAGGAAGTAATAGAATAAAACCAGCTACACCCATGATGGCCCCAGGCTCCACTGGGTAGCTCTTCACTGTCATAGACTTGTGTAGGGTCTCCTGTGGTTGTCCTGGGAGGAATGTCGGGGTGTGAGGAGGCAGGCACAGGACTCCCCAGTCACTCTTGCCTGGCCATATGGTCCTCTCAGGATCATGATGCCTGTTGTCCAGCAGAAGGAATTGGGGCACCTACAGTCATGACCTGTCTACAGTGGGGGACACCCTCAGATACACTGGCGCCATGCTCACACCTGTGCTATGTGAACCTGTGGAGCTGGAAGAGCTCCTAAAGTTTGTTTCTATCCCACCCTCCTCCATCCACTTCTATACAGGGACACTGGGTCCCAGAAAAGGGCATCTTTAAGACCATGCTGCTGTGTGAGGATGCAGCAAGATATGTGTCCAGATATTTAAGGCCCAATCTTCTAAACAACTGAACTCAGAAGCAGAGAGGCAGTCAGCCCAATTTATCAGGTGGATGTCGGGAGCTGGCTCCCAGGTCAACTGCTCACTCTAGGACCACAGCCAACAAAAGGGCTGCTCGTGACAGTTCACAGCCAAATGCTGCTGGCATCGTCCTCAGCTAAAGATAACCACCTTGTGCAGGGTCAGTTCAGGTCCTGAGGCAGCCCAGGTACAAGGGGATTCATGGGATTAGCAGGGCCAGCCAAGGCCCATCCCACCTCTCTGTCTTGTTCTACCTAGTCACTCAGAAAACAGTGTTCCCCAAGCACTCTGCAGTGAACTTCCAACACACAAATCTTTGCCTGAGTCTGTTGCCAAGGAAACCTAACCAAAAGCCAGGCAACCAAGGACAGGAAGTGGTAAGACCTCCCTGAGAATGAAAGTGGAGAAGATGGTTGCCCCAAACACTGAGCACCCATCCACAGCCTGGAAGATAACCTATGTAAATCCATCCATCCACATTCTCACCCCCCAAAGTGAGGCGTGTCAGGGTCTAGTCCATTTTCTGCTGGACAGAGAGGCTACAGCTACTTCTCATCTCCAAACCCCGAGTGTTTCATATGGCTGTTCTCAGAGCTCTTCTGTTCACTGAACTGCATACTGCCCAGGGCACTTTATAAGTTTTATGCTGTTTATTGCTTCTCCCATCCTGGGAGGTAGAAATTTACATCTGTTAGTTTGCAAAGAAGGAAACTAAGCCATAGCAAACTGAATACCTTTTCCAAGCTTGAGTGGCCTGGTCCTCTCAGAGCAAAGATCCCCAGCTAGGTGGCCAAATCCACAGCCACAGCCCTGAGCCTTGCCTTCAGCTGCCTTCTCTGGAGTCCAGCAGGGATTGAGTGGAACCTGACCCAACCACCCCCAGGGCTTTTGCCATCGCCTCCTGGAGCTGGAAGAGTTATAATTTGCCTTTGACTAGCCTCTTTCTCCTTTTTAAAGAAAACCATGTGTTACTCCCTCATGCCAAAGTTAAAACAGAACTGAAGTTTCACCAGCAGCAACTTTAAAATTGGGCAGAAGGGTTAAAATCCCTTGCCCCATGACTGCTTGTTTATGTTTCCGGAGCAGAGGGAGGAGGTTGTTATAAGAAATGAGCTCATTCTGTGGGCTGTACCTGCTGAAAAGGCAGGGGGTCCAGCGCAAGGCCAGGTCCCTCCCCAGTCTCAGACCCAGGGACTGGGCTGGAGTCCCCCTGCTCCAGACTCCCAGCTCCTCCAGGAGCCCAGCAGCACCCTCTTCCGTTCTGCATCTGCAGCACCAGAGGCAAGCTGGTGGGTCCCTACCAGCCACAGCATCTAGACAGCTGGTCCCTGCCCTGTGAAGCCCGCGGAGCTCACAGAGAAAGTGAGAGGATGCAGAGAAAGGCCCTGTGAAATGTTCCCAGACCTCTGCCATGCCAGGCAGAGCTCAGCCAGCCACTGCAAGGACACACGTGTGCACGCACACTCACACATGTGCACACTCAGCCACACACCCTGCACTGCGTAGCCCAGACCACTCTTCCACCCCTGGGTGGGTGTCAGAAAGGATCAGCCCCTCCTTCTACTCCCCGGGAAGATCCCACAGATAGACGCAGAAGCTCCACTTACCAGGCTCCCTCCTGGGGAAGACTCTCCTCTGCGAGCTCATGAGTGCAGTGCTTGGAGGAAGAGAGAGAGCCAGAGAGGGTCCCGGAGGCAGGAGCCAGATGCCACAGGGGTCCACCGCAGCTCCTAAGGCTGGGACGATTTGAATGGGAGTTAAAACTACAAAGTAACTCCTCGTTAGAACTGTTTTTCCTCCACAGGGAGGGAGAGAAAAAAAAATGCTTTTCCCTCTGCCAGAAAATCTTTAACATTTCACAACGGTCGCTTCCAACGCCTGCCCTCCTTGCGAAGCAAATGTGTATAAAGGCAATGTTATTTCACTGAATCAAGACCTCAGATCATACGCCTTTTCCTGTACCACAAACAGAAACGTAAAACCTCAAACTTTCCTTTAGAGTCGGAGAGGGCAGAGCCCAGCACTTTCTGAGGTCTAACATATGGAAAATGTGCTGTGCTCTGCCATTGGGATGGCCCCATGTACTCGGTCACAGCCCCCGCCCGGGCATTTCTAATGAGTCCTGAGGTGTTTATGCTCCTGCCTGGGGCAAACACAGCACCTCACATCCCAGCCCTGTGTCTGGGTGAAGTGATTCATTTTCTCCCTCACACACACCACACACCAGCACAGTGACTATTTAGCCCAAGTGAAAACGCCTTTCATAAAAGCTGCAAAGGACGTGGGCAGGATGACCCACGGTGAATGCCTCCAGTGTCCCCAGAAGGCAGCCACACTCTGGGGAAGGTGAAGTTTGCATGCACAAGGACAGCAGTGGACTCTCTGACCGCAGCCACTACGGCGGGACAGGAGGATGCAGAGGGGAGTCACCCTACTTAGTAGTTTTATTTCTGGACTTGGACAAGATGTACTACTATTTCAAGTAGCCAGTCTGACTGTGAGGTTACACACACTAACGGACCAAAAGAATACGTCATAACGAGCAAACAGAACTGGAAAGTAGAGAAGGCTGGCACTGCCTCTGTGGCTGAGAAGCGTGGCGGTTGTATGAACACAGCAGAGAGAAACTGTACAAAAGAGAAATCCTATGTTGTTTGAAAGAGACCCAAACTCACCCAACACACAAAGGAGACCCTGTCCAGTGCCCTGGGACTGCCTGCCTCAGCCCCTGCTGTGGCTGCCTCCTGCCCAGTGGCCTTGTGACCAATATCCAGGAGCCACTGTCACCTGCTCAGCCCACTCCAGATCACGATGACATCCTCCGACCACATCTTAGAAAATCGTGTCTTGAAGCAGTGTGGTGGGTTGCCAGCCCCACCACTACCATCAGCATTTCAAGGTGGGACAGGTACTCCTGGCACTCTCACCCCAGGGTGCTGGGGGGACCCAATGTTGATCCTACTTCATTATGGTTCACTCATCAGCAGGGGTCCCTGAGCCCAGGGAGCCCTGCGCTGTGGTAGCCCTGTGTTAGCCAAGGAGACGGGATGCAGTAACAAGTCCTATCATCACACAGAAACATCTATGAGCAAGGGAAGATACCTGCTTGCTAAGCAAATACAATAATTTACAAAAGCAGTTCGATTGCTGATCCACATACCTAAAACAAGACTAAATTTGGAGCAGTAAAATATGAGTTCTTTTATTTATTCTCACCAACATCCTTTTGGGCTTTCCATTGTCAGTTACATTAACCCTACAATTTAGAAAAGACAAAGTTCTCACTCCATACCAGATGATAGAAAAAAAATTTTAGTTAAAAAAAATTCTTTAAGACCATCATTGTCTTTGGAATCTCAAATCAATTTAGTTTTGCTAAATCAAAAATGAAAATGTGCTCTAAAAGCCCTGATCACATGATCCAAGCCTTTGATAAAGAAATGGCTGTTTGGTGTGATGGCAGAATCATGGTCTTTCCAAAGAGATCCACATCCTGACCCCAGGAACCTGTGAATTAAGTTGCTACTCAGCTGACCTCAGAGTAAATGCCTGGACTGCCCCAGTGTGATCCCAAGCACTCTTAGAAGCAGAAAAAAGAGGGAGAAGAGAGTCAGAAGCAAAAGAGAGGAAGCTACACTGTAGCTTTGAAGACAGGGGAAGGGGCCACAGCCAAAGAGGACAGGTGGCTTCCAGAGGGAACGAGGTCCTGCCAACACACTCCGTAGCCCAGGGAGACTGTTTTCGGACTTCTGGTCACTAGAGCTGTAAGATGGCATTTTGTGTTGTTATAAGCCACTATCTTTGGGTAAAAACAAACCCATTTGCATTTGTTTTATTTTGTTTGTTTCTTTAATATCAAAAAACTTGGCTGTACTAGGAAGAGAAAAGCCCTCAGGACTCAAGGAAGCACATTTGTATCATGGACCGTAGATTCGGAAGAACTCAGGATGATATCCAGGGAGCTTTTTTCTTCTCCAGAAGGAGATAAGGGAGGTAAGCTAGGGTGAGGGAAGTTAGGGTGAAAGCCACAGGTTGGGGTCAAGAAAGGACTCTGCGCCTTGCTGAACTGACACCAAGGAACAGCAGTGAAACAGTAGAGTGAGCTCGCAGGCCCCTGGCCCACTTCCTTCCTGGAATTCTGGGAGAAAAGAGAATCAGCTGAGTGTCCTGAGGCTTCACCCGCCAGACCTGGTGAGGGAGCAGGTGTGGTGGTGACCCCTGAAATGCCAGTACTCTGGAAGTTTGGGGCAGGAGGATCACAAGTTCAAGCCCAGCCTGGGCAAATTAGCTAGAGCTTGTCTCAAAAATAAAAATAAAATTTAAAGCACTGGAGATATAACTCAGTACAAAGGCTCTGAGTTCAACCCTCAACACTAAAAGCAAAAGGGAAAAAGAACCTGGGGTGAATTCCCGAGGCCTCATGCCTCCTGGAGAAGCCCAGACCCGCCTAGAAGTGCCAGCTGCCCCCAGGAGCTCCAAATACCTGGGTGCAGAGGAGGCAGGGTGACCTCCTTGGATCAGAACCCCGGGGGGCCTCTGCAGACAGCGTGGTGAGGCTGGCACCTTGGGCCACCCACACAGGGACTTCCTGAGGGCAGTCACTCAGTCCCAGGAGTCTCCACAGTGACCAGGTGGGATGGAGGGTGAGGGCCCCTGGAGTTACCTGGAGGGAACAAATGTACTCTGAATTGACAAAAACTAATTTTCCATCATGTGTAACAGCAGAGGTTAACAGTTACACTCGGTGAGAGAAGAATAAGAAGGCTGTGTGTTTATACAGGAATCTTTTTTTTGTAATTATGCCAACATATAAAGAGATGTTATCTCCAGATGGCAGAATTATGAGTGCTTTTGATTTCTTTTTCTCCATATTTCTTAATTTCTTGCCCCCTCGCCCCCACGAAGGAACAGGTTTTGCTTCCTATGGGTCAAATGTCTCCATGGATATAGGAAGACCCAGTCCTTAGGAGTCGGAGCTGTGCACAGCTGGAGAGATTGCATTCTTAGCGAAAAAGAGGTCGTTGTTGGCTTCACTGATTTATCCCAGTGCCTGGAATGTGGTGCAGCAGTGGATGCTCGGATAAGTGCTTTTCCTCGCTGACGTGCATGCCTGGAAGCCAACTAGAAGCCCAGCTCTAGCACAGAGGAAACTTCCATCTCATCCTGCATGGCACCAGATACTTTGGCAGGAAGTTCCAGATCCTACCTGCCTTGCAGAGCAGCCACGGAGCGAGAAAATAGGGGTGACAGGCACATCCAGGATGGGTGATGGGGGTTGCCATTTCTGATCTCTAGTTTTCAGGACTGGTTATTTTCTGGTCTTCATTTCAGGGAGAGGTAGTGCGCCTAGGGAGAGAGAAAGCTAGGGCTTCCTTTCACATCCTCGTGTGCAGGAGACTGAGCACACCTGTGGCCACACTTTGGATTCTTTCACCGGCCTGCCTGTGGAGAAGTGTCACTTTGCCTCCTGCATCCCACTCTGTCTTCCTGCTGGCCAGTGGCTCTGCCTCTGCTAGCAGTGCCCCTTGCTGGTCCTCTAGGACTGGGGCACCTGAGGCTGAGACCTGCCTGAGTCTGCCACTTACTCAGTTGTGCCCTGAGCTGTACTCACTTCAGACAACTGAGTCCCTTTCCTTAGCTGGTCCTTGAATCCACCTAAACTCTCAAGGCTGTAGCCACAGACACCTCTAGATGCTCACTAAGTGGACCCTTCCCAACCCTGAGCCAATTCTGACCAGGGAGCCAGGACGCTAGAGGCTCAGAGAGCTTGTCTGGTGAGGACCTCAGTGCCTTCACTGTTTTGTGCCTAGGACCTGCCGTGCCCTGGGAGTGCCAAGTCCTTCTGACCTCCTAGCCTGCCCTGTCTCCATGACCTGGCCTGTCCACCCTGCAGACCTGGAGCCCGAAATAATCCCTTCTCCTGCACATACACTCTCTCTACTTCGTGGTCTCTGGCACAATCACCATACTATGCCATGTGTCCTGTGTGCTGCTGCCCCCCCAGCACCGGTTCCAGCCCCAGGGGAAACAGCCCAAATCCAGGCCAGCTCTGCCACTTTCTATTGTGTCATGGACCATGATATTTTCCAGGGGACAAACTCATGGCAGCCTTGAACCAGTTCCCACTGCCCTCAACCTCCTGTTTCCCATTGCTGGACCTCATAAGTCACATTAGCACTTCAGAGAGCACAACTACCCACAGCCTCCAAAATGGTGCCTCTTTGTTCTGCATTACAGCCCTTAGAGCAAGAGGTCTGCTGGGCCTCTGGGCTTCGTCACCAGAAAAGGGTGGCAATGTCCCTCCAGCCCCTGGTCACTTCCAACACATGGGCACCACACATGGAGTAACATGTGACAGCTTGTGTGACAGTACCCAGAGGGAATCTGAGTTCTGCACTCAGAAACTTACAGAGACAATCCACTGTGCCGGTTTAGGGAATTTTAGATATTGTGTAATTTTAAAACATGGTGAAAAGGACAAATTGAGACTCTCACCGGATGAAAAGGAGGGCAGAAGCTCACCCTGCTCCCCAACCTAGGGGATTTGTAAGCCAGATCTGAGGAAGCCCAGATCTCAGGAAAAGCCCTGAAATCGCATCAGCTCATCTGGAATAGCATCAGAAACCTCGGAGCCTGCTTCAGCACCCACCACTCAGTCAGTACCGTCGGCACTCGTGTACTCACACATTTCAAAGAGCACCTGGTCATATCTACCAGCCTCAATCTTCAGATTCCCCATTTTACGTCAGGAGGTGGAGTTCCAAGAGCAAAGAGAGGGGATTTCCCTGAGGTCACAGAATTAAGAGATGCTGAGGTGGCTCCTGTGTATTCTTATACACAGGACAGAAAGTGATCCTTCGCCTTTCACCAAGAATGAAATTGCTGCATTGATAAATAGCCCCAGTAGGCCTGTGCCCAGAAGTCTTTGCCATGCTCTTTGGTACCCAGTCTAAGCCTTGGGCAGCATAGCATGGAGCCAGCAGTCAGAGGTGGGAGGGCCCAAGGGTGACCCAACCATGTGGGCTGGGATGACCAGATCTCTCTCTGCAAACAACACCTTAGGAGGTACAGCAATGGCTAAAAGAGTTGAATGGGAGGCTGTTTTGGTGGAGGGCAGGGTGGCAGTCTGTAGGCCCAGCCCCTCCTTCCCCCTGCTCTACCCTCATAGTCCCCTGGAGATCTGCTACTCACATAGGGAACACTTCTGTCCTGAAGCAGCCCTCCCTCCACAGGCATGGGGATTCGAGGTCTAGATGAAAGAGCAACTTGTTCAGGGACCCAGAATCCCAGAGCTCCAAGGCCCCTGAACCCACGGAGGCCAGTCGCTCCCTGAGCCAACTGAGCCTGGCTCAGCCACCGGGGCTGATGGCTGGTGAGCGGACCCTGCTGTACCGTCCCATTGTCACTGGTGTACCCCACACAAGGACTGGAAAGAGGAGCCCAGGATGCCCTGTCAAGATCCCCTCCACACACGGGAGCCCTGAGCTGGAGAGGTCCCAGCAGACCGCAGAGGCAGACAGGTAGATCCTGCTTTGTCAGTCATCCGTGTGCTTTGCACTCGTGAGAGAACATTCCCGAATACTTTCTCATCTTAACTTTCAACGTACCATAAAATAGTTTCTGTAGACCAAAAGATACAAAGTTTTATTTTATTCTAAAAGGTATTTATTGTTTTAATGCAAAAGTCATACATGTGTGTGCTTTATCATATATATATTATATATTTACTTATCCATAATTAATATACCAAATTCCAAAAATGCTGCTAACTATGTATGAGTTACCAAGAGCTACTCAGAAGCAGGCGAAGGTCACAGAGTGCTCACCCTGTCTCTGCCTTCCGGAAGTCCCTCACTGTGGCCAGGCTGCAGCATCTGGCTTGGCAGGTACAGCCCTACAGCACAGGACACCTGGGCCCCTGCCCTCAGCAGACCTTAATGTTCCCTCACAGGTCTTATCCCGGCCAACTCTTGGCAGAGCAGGAACATTGCAGCCACTGCCAGCATCCACGAGGCCACTTCCAAGCCAGGCTTTTCCTGCCCCTGCTGCTAACCCCCTGGTGAGCTCCACCCACATGACTCCAACTTTGCTCTTTCCCTCCTGCCTCTGCCCAGGTCCAGACGGAGCAGTAATGGACAATCTCCAGGGCTTTCGTCCCTGTCCACAGCACGTCTTCTTTCTCTGGGGATGACACATGCATAGTCTTATCTGAACTCTTCAGTTTCAAACTTCAGCTGCTCAGTGCCCTGGCTGTATTCCACGAGCTGGTGTGGTTCTCCAATCTGGGCCTAGATAAGGCAGAGAACCCATATTCAGATGAACAGGAGTGGTGGCATGGTGGCAATGGTGGGGATGGTGGAGATGATGAAGACAGCCACCACTTCCCAGCCATGTAACTCAGTGCCAGGCACTGTGCTAATCACTTTGCATGGATTACCACTCTCTATTGAGGCTGACTGTGGACCATGTTGCAGGAGATCCTCTGTGCTGGTTGTGTCCCTCTAAGTGCACAGGAAGACTGGGAAGGTACCGATGAGCCATCCACTCCAGCTGCCTTCTCTGGCTGAAAGACCATGCAGGGCAGCCTGTCCAGCTGTGGTGGGCCAGAAAATGGTGAGTAAACTGAATTCTGTGATAGCCCTGCCCCGAACCCAGACAGCAGCAAAGGACCCAAAGAATGGCAGATGAGACACAGGAAGGACCTAGGGACCAGAGTGCAGAGACAAGTCCTGCACCAGTTGGTTCCTCCCTTTGTGGAGGTGGAGATAACACACATTGAGGTTCAAGCGAGGGTTTGTCCTCCTCACTCGAGTCAGGTTGCTCGTGGAGGGGGTTCTGATGGGTCTGGCTAGGGAGGCAGCCGCACAGTCAGAATGCAGGACAGAAGCTGACATATGAGGCTAAGTCCGGGGGACAAAGTCTGAGTCTCCAGCTCTCCAGGGGAAACGGATGGACTTGAACAGATGCGGACCAAAAGGAGCCCAGTGGTTCATCCAGGCTCAGGCTTCTCTCAGAGGCAAATCAAAGTGCAGAATGCTGGCTCCAAAGGCCTTAGCTTATTCTAGAGGGAAACTCATAGAGTCCAGCTCCTGAGAAGAAATGTACACCTGAGTCTAGAGGGTGGAAGGAGAGGATTCAGGGAGATAAGAACACAGGGTGGGATAAGGTGGACAGCCTGAGGGTCGAGCATGAGTTCAAGGGAGAGGAGCTCTCACAAGACTGCACAGATAGGACTACGGGGCACTCCCATGCCTATCACAGCCTCTCAGCTTCTCCTGGGCCACTTCCTACTCCTCCCTCAGCCAGCCTTAGAGCCAGCAGAAACCACCAGGGAGGCTCACAGGCCCTGAGCCTGCCCAGGATCAGCCCCACTGTGGGCTTCAATCTGGCTGGGGTTGATGTCTTCATGTCTACACTGTCTGCAGTAGACACAGCTGGTCTATAGGCTTGGAACTCATGTGGGCTGCTGCCTCTGTGTGGTCTGCAGAGGACATTGCCCCACGGTTTCTCTAGAGAAACTACCTACCCTCCCTTCCCCTTCCCCTGCTCCAATCTCTATCTCTCTCAAACTCTGCCCCTGAAATCCTGCCCTGTGCTTGCCCTTGCCCTTTTGCGTGGACCCCATTTGTAGCTTCCTCCTCCTGTACAGCTGAGGAGCCCAGGGCAAGGCCAGCCTAGCCCTATGGCTGAACTCTCCTCAGGAGTTCCCCATCCACCTTGCTACTTCCTCCTCGCCACTGCTTCCCACCATCCATTCTTCCCTTGGATGCCCCAGAAGACCCAAGCCCACACCGTATTGTCCATGTGTCCCCCAGGGTATCAGCCACTCACTCCACAAGGGCAACTTCCCACTCATATGCAACGCCTGGTGAAGCCATCAGATGCTCAGAGATTACGAGGCTCGCCTTCCTGATCCAGCCTCTTTCTCAGATGTCACACTGGGAATGACTGCCATGATACCAAAGCTCAGATGCCTTCTTCTGTTCTCACTTCCCAACCACACTAGGTTTCAATTCTATAATCAGAAAGGACAGCGTTTCTTTCTGAGATGCATTGAGCGATCAACAAAGAGCACTGGGTGACTCTGGGCCACTGTCCTTGGAAGTGACAGCAAGGACAGAGACAGGTACACTGCAAAAGGGTCTGGGGAGTGCAGCTCAGCTCTGGAATGTAGAAGCTCAGAGGAGGGCACATATTCCACCACCTGGGGCTCTACATAGGGGAGCATACTCTGCAGGTCAGGAGCGAGCTAGGTGGGAAGAGGCAGAGGGCTTGTGTGAGCAGGAGCCAGTGTGCCCCGTGGTACAGGAACAGGAAGCCCAGGAGATTCAGGGACCACCATTAGAGACATTTCGGAGACCTGTGCTCCTCTCCTGAGCCATCACTCCATTCCCATCACCCCAGCTGCTGTCTGCACGCTGCCCTGACTCCTTACCCTCATCTTCAGTGCAAGTCTCAGCAGACGAATCCTAACCCATGCTCAAATCCACTGGCTTCTCTGTCACCCCTACTTTCTGCCCAGTGTTCTCCCATACATCCAGCATAACCCCAGTATCTCATCCTTTCTCTACCCATCTTAACTCTTTGAATTCAACCTCTCCCAGAGTGGGGACACATGGTCTTTATATCTCCACTCCTCGCTACTGAGAGCCCACACCAAAACCAACGGGGTGAGGGATGCTGAGCCTTCTCCAGCTGCCCCTCTTCACCCCACAGCCTGTCTTACCCTCACCTGCCCAGTGTGAGCTTCCAACGGTGAATGGCTGTTCCCTCCTGCATGCTTTGGCGAATGCCACCTCCTCTCCTCATCTGCCTCACTCACCTTTGAGTCTCAGCCCAGGGGCCCCTTTCTGAGCTCTTTGACTTCTCACCACCACCAGTGTGACTCCTGCCCCTTTCCCATGCTCAGCCGGACATGGTTCTGCTGCTGGTTCTGATGGTTCTGATGCTGTGCTTTTCCTACTCCTTTGTCATCTCTGGTTGTAAATACATTGGGCACAAGACCTAGATCTCACTCATCTTTGCGTCTCTTACCTAACTCAGGGCCTGGAATACAGTGAGAATGCAGACCTTTACGAACTAAATAAATAATGGCACAGGTGATTGAAAAACGGATGCTTATGGTTACTAAAACAATTAATTCAGGGAGCACAATTGGAAGGAAGAAGAAATAGCATGATGTGCTTGTTGGGAGATACAGAATTTGGAGCATCTATGGAGCATAGAATGTAAACAATCCCAACATTAGTGGAAGAGACAACCAAGAGAAGAGCTACAGAAAGGTGGAAATTAAGAAAGTTCCAATACAGAAGCCAAGAGGAAGGGAGGATCCATTTTACATGCTGCTTAGACTTCACTGGCTTTGAGACAAAACAAATAAACCTCAAAACCCTTTGGCAAATCTAGTTGGCCTCCCAACAAGTCTCTTAGAGCAGAAATGGGCTTTCGACATCCACTGAGAGAGTTTTATTTCCAGGGTGCTAAGAAGTGTTTTGGGGGAAGAGCAAATGAGCATAACAAAACAGAGAATGTGTTCAGTGACTCCACTGATCTCCCCAGTCTAGGGTTGATTCGTCCAGCCCATCATCCACTTCCCATAATACCAAATCCCTGTGCATTTGAAGGGAAATATAAGCCACGTGGTCATGATCTATTTGCACGTTATGTAACCAAATGTTGGGCTGTAGCTGTTTGATGTCCAAGAGACCATCTGAAGAGCTTTTGCAGCCAGAAATCATGAGCTGCCAAGAAAACAAAGAGGAGAAAAACCCTGGCCGGCCTCATCCATAATCTGAGGCCCTCAGTAGGGAGTGGAGAGTGTGGAGGACAGAGGCCTCCTGTCTGCCAACTGCTAGACCGGATCCACATTCTGTGTCTCAACTGCTAGCCTTGAGTGATGAACCAGCCCCACAAACAAACAGGCAATGCCTGGAAACAAACTGTCATTTACACCACTAATTGATCACCATTGGGCAGCTAGATTATTTCCAATTGTGACATAATAGATAAAGCTAATGCAAAAATCTTTGTTGATGAATTTTTCTTATCATTTCCTAAAGTTAAGTTTTCTAAAGCAGAATTACTAGATCAAAGGGGAGAAATGTGCTATTAAACCACATTTCAAACAAATTGCACTGAGGTGGGCATAGGGAAAAAGAAAAAGAAAAATTGAAGTCATCCTCTTACAAGCAGCGAATGAGCTCCAAGCATGGAGCAATAGCAGTGAAATAAAAGAATATTATGAAGCTATTAAAAATCATGCTTTCAAAGACTTTACACAGCAATGGGAAACTATTAATAAAAGTATAAAGTTGCATTTTAATATAAATGATATACAAATATAAACTCATTTATTTATTTTGAGACAGAATCCCTTGATGCTCCTAAGTTGCCCAAGCTGGGCTCAAACTTGCGATCCTCCTGCCTCAGTCTCCCAAAACATTGGGGTTCAGGCACGCACCAATTATGATGCAGATGTGACATTTCTTGTGTTAGTTGGTCCTTCTAAGGGAAGACCTAGGGACCAGACTGTCTCTACCTCATGTCTCCACCTTCTTGAGAAGTCTCCCCAGAGGTCCAGGGGATGTGAGGGCAAGGAAAATCATATGGACCCTTCCCACAGCTCAGGTGAAAATGACACATGGCACTTTCACTCACGATCTGTCGTTAGAACAATGTCTCTGGTCCACACTTGACTGTGGCGCCTTGAAGGAACACGTGGACATGTGGCGAGTGCTCAGTCTCTCAGCCACAGTCTGACTTCTCCCTCTCCCCATCCTGTGAGGCAAATGTCACCAGTGTGCAGGAGACAGCACCTAAGTCCCGCCCCTAACTCCAGGGACCAAAGCCTCCCACAGCTGCATAGGAATCTCTGTATCACATTCCACATAGATCTTGTTGGTCCAGAGAGCTCTTGTCCTAGAACTGGGGTCAACACACATCTTTCTTAAAAGTTCATAGAGGAAACAGCAGGCTTGTGGGTGATGGGGTCTCCGGTGCATTGGGTTTAATCCTGCCCCTGAAGCACAGAAGCAGTGGCATTGTGGATGTAAATGGTGGGCCTGGCCGTGCTCTGGTCAAGCTTTACTCACAGGATGGGCAGCTGGGTGTATCTGGTGTATCTGCTAGTCTCGGCTGCCAAAGGTTACATTGCCTGCCTGCTAGACACCTGGGGGTGTCTGTGGGCAGGCACAGCACAAAGCCCGCAAACATACCCATCTGCAGACAGCAAGATGGAAGGCACTGGCCTCCACAGGCCGGGGAACCTCTGCCGCTCCCACACAGCCGCTGAAGACCTCTGACCTGCGGGCTGAGGGTCCCCTTGTTCTGCTCCTCCTGCTCCCTCTGCTTCCTCTCTAAGGACACGTTTTAGAAACTTTTTCCTCTTCTGTTGCTTCCTTCGCCACGCTGGACGTGAGCTTTGAAAACAATGTCCTCCTTGGGGGCTTCGTGGCTCCTCAACTTGTTTGCTGCCAGAGATTGTTGGGGGCTCAGAGAGCATAAGCTTCACACAAGCAGAGCCATGGGTTGGGGTACAGTCTTTTTTTGCTGGCAGAGCGATTCCCAGGTCTTGGGAGTCAACTCCTCTTCCAGCTCCTCACTGTGCCTTCGAGACTGCCTTCAGCAATCTGCTAGCCCCCAGGCTTCTTTCTGTGACACAGCGGTGCTCCCTAGAGCACCTGGGGGCCGGAGGTGGGAAGCCTTTGCCTAGTTCTGCTCTGAGACCTTTTAACCAAAGGGAACGTTTACCACAGTTGTGAGAGTCACAGCCTTCTTTTGGTTTTTGCACTGAGTCCAACCGGGCAGCACATCCTCCATCTGATATTTGCCTTTGGCTTTTCCAGGTCTTCCTAGATCTTATTTCCCACCATTTATCATCCAGGGACAGTTAACTTTTCAACCTTAACTTTTGGCCTTTTACCATTTCTCTTTACTACTCCTGGAAACCGGTGGATTTTTTTCTGTGCTTGTCCGCCCCTTGTAACATCTTGTTAAATGTACTGGGTAACTACCAGCACATGGTACCAACACTCCATTTCCAACTCCCCCAGGAGCCAGAAGTTCGTTGGAAGGAAATGTGCCTTCTGAGCCATGGCAGGCTCCTCTCATAAACATTGTGCCGCCCCACAGCAGGGGCTGCAGGCTTCCCAGTGTCCGCTGTGGTTTCCTTGTTACTGCTACCTGGCCAGCGCCAACACTACATGTTTTGGTTTTCTTTACAGCTGTGCTGCACTTCCCCTGCCAGTCTCTAGACCAAGATACCTAATGGGCAATGTCTTAGCCCCTTTTATGCTACTAACACAGAAAGCTTGAGGCCTGGTGACTGGTGGAGAAGAGAGATTCGTGTTGGCAAGGTTCTAGAAGCTGGAAGGTCCAGGAGCACAGTGGCCTGAGGTCTTGGTGCTGCTTCAATTCATGGCAGAAAACAGCACATTGCTGTGGTGATGACCCAGTCCCTTCAAAGCAGGAACTCACCCGTGCTGGTGAGAATGAACCTTGTCCTTGAGGAAGACGTTACTGACCCAAACATCCCTTCAAGTCCCATCATGTGTCTAAGTTGTTCCACTGGGAATCACATTTCAACCAGGCTTCAATGGAACAAAACCTATCCAAGCCATAAAGGTCATGAGAGATTCTTTTATTTGGTGGTTTAATGAGTCCTTCACCTGCTCCAATGAAGTTTGACATGAGTGTGGTGGCTGTGTGTGGCATACGAACATCTTATAATTTGTAAATAGGAAGAGCAAGAGAAGTTGATGGAAAAGTATAGGAATGAGAAAAAAAAAAGGAATCCGGTTGTATCATGTACAGATTCACGTTCTCTACGATGAATGTGATCATTTTGTATACTATATACCAATAAAAACTGATAAACAATAATTCACCTACCTTTACCCTTTGAAAGCCACTTGTTCCAAATGGCCCTTTGGGATGCACACAGATATATACAGATTCTTTTCCCTTGGGAACAGCCTTGATTCTGAAACCTTCCTAACCCCAAAAGCACCCTGGCATCTCTCCTTCCTCTATTTACCCCAATCCTATTTAATTGCAGCATTTGGATATGGTAGAATATTTTTAGAAAAGTAATACAGTAATTATTTCCCTTTTGTGTTCCTGTTTCCAATCTTTCCCTAACTCTGCCAGGATGGGAGACGAATGAGGTAGCCAGAGATCAGGAGCACAGGGAGGGAAGCAAGCCATTCTGTTTCAGATGTGCGTGCCTAGCGCATCTGAGGCCTCTGGCCACACAGCAATCTTATAAGCTAGATGTGCTGCAGAGAAGATATTTCCCACTTGTTTTTTCTACCTTCATCCTCCCCTGGCCATCAGGAGGCAGGCTAGGTGCTGATTTTCATAATTTACCCCAAACACTAACAGAATACCCTTGGCCTGGCAAGGAGAACTTGGCCTACGATGCTGCCCAAAAGAGCAGAAGTGGAGTGACAGAGTCCTAAAGGTAACAGGCAGAAGACAGAATTAGTAACAGAAAGAAAACAGGGTTGCAATTGTTGATCCTAATATTATAATAAAGTTTGGGAAAGCACCTTTGCCCAATCAAGCTGGACCCACTTCTCGTCTCAGGCACACCCATGGGAGATCACCACTAGGGGAGAAATGATGCCAATATAGTTCAAGGTGCAACAAGATAGGGAGACAGAGGCCTTGAGGTCTGCACACAGGGAGCTTTCCAATCCTAAGGGCCACGCACATGGTCAAGAAGTCCCATGACTCATTAGAGGAGCCTCTCCTACAGAAGTGGGATCTATCATTGGTCCTGAAGACCACGGCAAGGACAGGACAACCAAGGAACAGTCAGCAGAGGAGGGGAGGCCAAAGGACACTTCCTGGAAGAGGCAGAAATGGTGAATCCTCTGGTCCAGCAAGAATTGAAAGAACAGAGCAGCCACTGCAGCCCCGAGACACGCGTACCTCTATTGGGTCAGGCACTGCACTAATAAGAAAGGAATCCTGTGATCATGTAAGCATGTGTCACTGTGCATGACAGCTCTCTCGGAAATATTTGCAAAGGAAGTGACCAAGAACTCTCTGGGTGCTGCTAAGGAGGTTGACAGAACCAGCAGTTAGAGCTGAGACAAAGTTTGGGAAGCAGACTGATGGTGGGCTGTGCCTCCACTCCATCCGTAAGGAAGGATAGGAAAGATTCCCCTCCACCTCGAGTCAGATGAAAGGAACATCAGAGGGGCTTGCTCAGTGACACTGATGGGAGCCCAAAGTCTGTAGGAAGCCTGTGACTGGTGCTGATTCCCACTTAGAAAGGCTAAAGAGAGAAAGAAATAAAGAAATATGGAGCCGTGCTTTGATGGTGAAAGCAAACAGAAGTGCCTGAATTGAGATAGATGAGCAATCTCAGAATCTGGGGGCCTCAAAGAGCCTGTGGCTATTTCCTGTGGGCCAGATGTGTGTCACGTGAGAGACACAGTATGAGCTCATCCTCATTCCCATTTGTGTCCTTGGAGGAGCAGGCAAATAGACAGACACATAGACCTCGAAAGGAAGGACTCACAGTAGGGAGCTCTGAGGGGCAGAGGGCTAGCAGCACTGTGGGCCAGGGACCTAGGTAAGATCCCTAGAGCAGGAGATGCCTGAGGGGCCACCCTAGTGACCCTGGCCGTCTGCCAAAACTGAGAACACAGGAGCTGGCTCTGTTGATCTTTTCCTCCTGCAGTTCCAACCCCAAGAACCTCAGGAAGCACAGAGCAAGGGAAACAGACTTGCCAGGGAGAAGGGGAAGGTTTGATCAACAGAAAGTTCCGAATTTGAACCCATATAGAAAAATGGCATCATAATGCCTGACCTGAGTGTATGTTGACATGTTTGGAAGCATACAGTGGCTCCAGGCGACTGTACCACCTATGGGACCAGCTGAGGGGCAGGGAGGAATTCGCCCCACAGATCAGGATCAAGGGCTCCTCCTCAGGATGTGGAAATGACTGTCTCATGAACTCACCTTTTGCGTGCTCCGTGTCTGGGCTATGTACAGAACACGGAGGAGATGAAGGAGAAGGCAGGCATGAGAGACGAGGCCACGGGGGAGTGAGAGGAGGAGAGCTACCCAATGGGTCTCCCTCACCTGTGACTTGCATTTGACACTTTTTTCTGACAGTACTGAAGTTTGAACCTAGGACCTCACATTGAACTACATCCCCAAAATACCCCTAGACACTGTTTTTTATTCTTTTGAGACAGGTCACTAACTCACTGCAATGACCAGACTGGGCTCAAACTTGTGATTCTTCGGCCTTCCAAAGTGCTGGCAGTATAGGTGTGCACCACCACACCTGGAAAAGAGAGGTGTCTTGTTCTGCCAAATCCCCTCGTAGCAGCCCACGGTTAAGCCCAGGGCTCCCCCAAGGGCTTGCTCTCCTCCTGCTCCAGGAAGGAAGGCAGAAGCACCAGGAGGTTGACAACCAGTGTGGGGTGAAGATGCTACTCCCCCCTATTCACCCTGCAGGAAGGGCTGCTCCAAGTCACTTCCTGTGTGTCAGGCCTCAGAGGGGTGGAGTACCTGTAACTCCAGGGTCACTGGCTTGATGGACACTTTTTATTGCCATTCCTTTCTACCTCTTTTCCATCACTCCCACATCGGCTGCGCCCCTCACCCTCACCTCCTGCTGTGTGCATCCCAGGGGAAGAAGTCACTTCTCCACACTTGGGCCCCTAGGGGCCTGCAGCTCTGCCCTCCATCTCCAGCCATCTCTAGCAGCTCTGGGTCTTCTGGCCCAAACTCCTGTCCCTTCTGGGGAAGAAGGAACGGGTGCAGGACCCAGAAGCTTCCCCACCACTGCCTGTTCCCCACAGGAAGAGCCTGGACCTCAGTTCAGGGGTCCCGCAGGCCCCTGCCCTGGCCAGGCAGCAGCATCCTGGTGTGGCAGCTGCAAGGCCTGGCAGCTCAGCCCCAGGGTGGTGCCACTTCCTGCCCGTCTGTTTAGGAGCACATTCAGGAGACATGAGCAGATGTTTGGCAGATGTTCAAGCCCATTTCCATCAGCCAACAATAACAGTGCAAAGGCAGTGCAGGAGGGGGAGGAGAAGTCTACCCAGTGGTGGGGGACACCAGCAGGGGCGCCACATCCATCCCTGGGCGGGGTGCTCCTGGGTGACTCCATACACTGTGGGCTCTAGCACAGCACGCCCAGTGCCAGGACTCGGGGTGGAGCTCTGACTGGGTCAGCCTGTTTTTGCTCAGCTCCCCAGATGGAGCCCACAATCCAGCGTCAGGCTGCCTGGCTGCCTGAGTCGCCTGGAGAAGCTTCAAGGGCAGGGCAGGCTATGACAAGGTCCAAGGCTCCTCCTGAGCACACAGACAGATGCCCTCCTGTGTTCTTTCCACCCTAGCTGGACGTCTCTCCCCACTGTTCAGCGCACGACCCAAGAGGCCTTCTCACCACGAGAACTGGTATGAGACCAACCCAAGCACTGGTGTCCAGGCAGTGGGCTTGTGGGGAAAACAGAATCTCCGTGGGAACCAAGAAAGTATTGTAGTCTTTTTCGTGTGCTCTTTAAATTTTAAAGTATTTAACTGACAAAAATTGTATGTGTTCAAGATGCACAACACGAGGATTTGATAAACAGGGACGCCATGCAGTGATTATCCCAAAGTACCCCTAGATACCCAAAATTTGTTGATTTTGTGCTCTCGCTGCATTAATTTCAGAACACTCAAGCCTTAAAAGAAGGAAGTTCCAGTCTTTTCATCATAACTGAAAGAATGGCATGATTGATTAAATATTGCCAGCATTATTTTCCAATACTTTTAAATGCAGCCACATAGCCAAGTGTTTTGAATTACATAAACATGTGCACAGCAGCCTGACTCACCAGATTTACACTGTGCTTCCTCAGGAGGCTCCGAGATGATCCACTAGCAAAATGGGCTACAAGATTATTTGCAGTTTGTGATACGTTGGACAGCAGAGTCGGAGAATTCGTAGGAAAAGCTAAATCTTTGAATTTGCCTTTTAACAAATGAAAATACTGCAGTGCTCTTATCTGAGTTTGCAGTTAGCAGATGGTTATAAAAGCTTTATATAAGGAATTCCAGAAAAGGATAGCCTGTAGTGGACCAGGCAAGAAACAGAAAAGCCATGGCTTACCAGTAAGTGTTGAATAACTGAGGACATCTTGGCTTTCCTTTCTTTATGGATTTCCCAAATCAAAGATGCTTCTCAAAAACACAGACCCACCACAAGTTTACAAAGCTTCCTCAGGCAGAGGCTGTGCTGGTCTTTTCCGAACTGCTTCAGTGTTAGTATCGCTGATGCCACAGCCAGAAGAGAACTGTTCCCTTTGTACATGGAAGCTGTATCCTGTGACCACCACCCTCCTTCCTCCCGTCTCTGCCCTGAATCCCTCTCCTCTCTCCACGTTTTTCATTCCCATGTATAAGTTAGCTCATGCAGCATGTCTTTTAGTGTCTGGCTTATTTCATTTAACATAATGCCTTCGAGGTTCATCCATATTTTCACAACAGACCATGGTCCCACTATGCGTTCATGGTGAGGCTATGGGGTTCACACTCTCTGGTCCTTCTCCTCACCCCTGCTCCATCAGCTCCCTGCCATCCCAGAGTGGAGTGTGATACCTGAACCTCTCTCCCACATCCACCCCCTCTCTCTCCCTCGCCTCTGCTCCACAGGCACCTGCATTGCCATGGGACTCTCGTGTGCACTCTGCTGCAATGCTCCATTCCCGGCCCCACTGACCCAGCACAGCCCAGCCACCCCGCAGGCAGGACCAGTGCCCTCGAGGCAGCACAGCACACTGTAATGGCTGCAAGAGCTCCCAAATCCAGATAGCCTGGAGATCTTGGGGACATTAACGTCTCTCTCGAGCATTTCCTCTCCAGTACAAGTCTG